TCTCTCTCTCTCTCTCTCTCTCTCTCTCTCTCTCTCTCTCTCTCTCGTTCTTCCCCCCCTTCCCGCGGCCTGACGTGCCTGTTTGTTCTAGGCTGTTACTTTTCATTTTTGTCGTCGTTCTTTTTTTTTTTTTTTTTTTTTTTTTTTYCGGGGCCCGTTTTTTGGGGACTACCGGTCACACGCTGGTGGGTACCCCGCACGATGCAGCGCGTTAACGGTCGCGTCGAATTCTTCAAGCAGGGAGAGGTGCTGGTGGTTTAAGGAGAGGAGGAGGGGAACAAAGATCTCCTTACTTTTTTGGGCAGTACATGTAAAATTCTGACTGTGGGATCACAAGTAGTGCACAGCAGGATTTGGGTCACTCAACTGTCCCACAAACTCATTCTATCCTATCCCGTTGCTAGTGGGACCATGCTCCAGGTGGTAGTGGTGCCTGCCTTTATCAGCACCACTAACACTGAAGAGGGCGAGATATCTTTTTTTTTTTTTCGTTTTTTCTTTTTTTTAATGCCCCCTTCAGAGCTACCGTCTTCCCCCGAACACAACGCACCCTCATTTTGACTGTGTTGGGCCGGACACAAACCTTGTATACGTTCATTTTCAGGGTGGGTTATGTTCGGGGGAAGACAGTTAGTGGTGCTGGTAAGAGCAGGCAGCACTAGCACCTGGGGCCGGTCACCTGTGGAAAGGGCAACAAAATATTTCCAGAGGCTTAACAAAACTCTTGACATACCTGTCACAAGATATTAAGCTAAAAAAGGAAGCTCAGTAAGTCATGATCATGACATATAATCTACAATAATAACTTCCATAATAATCTCGAATTACCCGGGGGCAGTCACCTGTGGAAAGGGCAACAAAATCACACGCTGGCAACAAACTCGCGCGCCGAGTTTGACAGGGTAACAAAAGCATTTTTACCCACGTGCCAAGTTTGAAAAGGGCAACAAAACCACTTTTAACTGCGCGCCGAGTTTTAAAAGGGCAACAAACTCGCCAGGGCATCAAAATCACACGTGGACCACAGCCACTTTTACCGATACTGCCCTTTTCAAACTCTGTACCCAATGTTGTTGCCCCTACCACGTGTTTTTGTTGCCCTGTCGGAACCCAAAGAGGGAGGGAACAGAGAGACACTTGAGAAAGAAAATAAATAGACAGATTGTGTGTGTGTGTGTGTGTGTGTGTGTGTAGACAGATTGTGTGTGTGTGTGTGTAGACAGATTGTGTGTGTGTGTGTGTGTGTGTGTGTGTGTGTGTGTGTGTGTGTGTGTGCGTGAGTGTGCGTGTGTGTGTGTGTGTATGTGTGTGTGTGTGTGTGAGAGAGAGAGAGAGAGAGGGAGAGAGAGGCCTCTCCCGCTCTGTGCCCTCCTCCCTCTTCTGCCAGTCTTGTCTCTGCCATGGGTGGAGCCAGGTGGGCAATCACTTGTTTTATTCCAGCTCAGATCTTTCTGAGCAGCCAGCAGCACCTCGTTTTTCAAGTTTTTTGGAAAAAGGCAACATTCTTGAGATGCCATCGTCGAACTGATCGGCCCCAGGTAATTCAAGAATCAAGAGTTTTGTTAATCTATTTCCATGACAAGATAGAACACAAAATCACCATGGAATTAGGAAGAAGAAGATGACATGAGTTTTAATATCATGCGTTGCCGCCTTCTCTTCTACAACCCCTTGATACTCGACACCATCGAGGGTCTCAACCCTTCTACTCATACGCCACTCAGATACTCAGATTGAGGAATACTTCCTACTTCAACTATTAAATACTATGCAATACTAGGCTTTCCTTGAGGAAGCCAACTTCGACCGATATACCATGCTGATTTAACAAAATAAAATAAACAAATAAATCCGAAGCATCTAGAAGGTGAACAAAACCCATTTCTTGTGGACCGACCTAAAGCCCAGGTTGGTACACAACTGCATCCTGCTACTATTCGCTATGTACCCGCTTATCCAAGGGTCCAGATACATTATACTATTCTTCAAAAAAGAAAGAATTCACACGTTCTAAATCTAGTCCATAAGTGGACCAGGTAAAACATGTGGGACAAACGCGCGCATTTCAGATGCCACGGCGCGCGGTAGTTGTGAAGAGCTCTGCGTGTGCTGTCCCCTGGTCCTCCTGTGGGCCGAAGGCCAATCGGGCTGGCCAGGATCTCGAAGCTCTAAAAAATCCTTATTTATGGCGCAGGGAAAAAGACAAGCCTCATGAGATGCGCCACCTGGTCCAATATCTGATATGCGACCAGAGCATATCCAGGGCTGGTGTGCCCCAACCGGTGTTGCCACATGCAGTCCCTTTTATTGGCACTTACACACTCATCCGTTCCTGGATGAGTTTCCATAGCTCAATCCAGAACGGCTCAGACGTCCGCCGGTACATCCATTTGATACCAGCCAGGATTACCGTGGTGGGGTAATCCATTTTTTTTAGCTCAATAGCTAGGGTTATTACATTAACCGCAGTGATCCCAGCGTCATTCAAGTTGTTCAATATCCTCAGGATTGTATTCGCGACAGTTGCAAACTTCGCAGCTCTTGGTCCAAAAGACGAAAAATCCTTGTAGCTGCGGAAACATAGTAGCCCCTCCTCCCAAATCGATCCCCCATTCTTGAACCTATGGGACATGTAGATATGAGATGCATTATCACAAACAATGAGTCTTATTTCTAGAAAGTCCAAGACCCCGCTCCCTGAGTCAGTTCGTACCAGCTGCAACCCTTCTAGATAATGCTTAAGAGCTTGCTCAATTCAGGATTCGGCCTCAACCCTCTGGTCCTGTCGTGATTGCTAAAAAAACGAGACAATCAAAAGGTCATCAATGGTGGGCTGGCCCTATGTGTACTCAGATATGTGTACTCTGCGAACATACACATGACACAAGCCAGCGGTGGGTTGGTCCTTCCGCCCATGGGAATGCCACGCGTTTGTCTCAGAATTGATCCTGACACCAAGAAGAAGGTGTTCTCTAGCTGAAACTGAGTAGGAGACAAAGCCTACTCAATCTCAGCGATCTCCACCCGGCTTCGCAGTGCGACTTGCCAACTTGGCAGCTTTGGATCTCAGATTAAGGAGGATCCACCGGATCCGGTTATCACGGAAGAGTCCAACTATCCAGTCCACCTCACGACTAATGTGGTCATGAGGTAACTGTGTAAACATTTCTTTGATGTCATAGGTTCGAACCACAAAGTCCAAACCATCTTGGCCGCACTTGTTTACCTTGTTCACAGCATCCTTAAGATCAGATATCGATCTGAGGTTGAAATGGGGCACCTTGATTCGCTTAATCAGAAAGTTGAGTGAGGCAGACAACAAACCAGATGCTGCACGAAATGGACTGTCAAAAGACGGCACAATAGGGCGCTTCTTATTTTTATCCTTCTCCTTCGTCAGGATGTATGCATGTTGGAGCCCCCCATTCTTGTCTCATTTTGCCAATGCCTTAAGTTGCATTTCCTCGTATCGCTCCCGCATTTCACTGAGCACCGCCCCGCGGTCCTTGCAAATGACCTCGTAGCATTCGTTCTCCAAATACATCTGCTTGGGGCCTTGTTGGTGCAGCACCGGACACTCAACCCACGTTTCACTGATGTTACGATCTAGAGGTGACATAACAAGCCCATCAAGTGCCTGCCTAACACCACACACATACTCACTATAAACACACCCGACTTCCATCTTTTCTCCAAACTTACAGATGCCCAGCCAATCAATCCGTAGGTCACCCTTAAGGGCACCATACTGCCTGACGACATCAAGCGCAGTATTACAAGCATAGTTGAGAGCTTCCTTAGTGGTAAACGTACCAGGGAATGACACATTCTTCGCGTTATGCAGGAATGGGCGTACCCCCTCAATGCAGCTCAATTTAACCGCCAGGTGCCCATTCAATCTAGGCAAGTTAAATCCTTCACAGGCACATCCGACAGAATCTGCCTGTGCAAAGGATTTATAATTATGCAGGAGATCACCAACTGACTTGGCTTTCAGCCAGACAGTTCTTGTTCTCCGCGCAAACAGGTCAGCTAGTGCATGAGGAACAACACGATCCTTGATGCAGGTCTTAACAACACACTCAACCTTGCACTTGTCAATCGTCATACAAAAGGGAATTTTTACAACAATGTTAGCACGGGGGTTAATACCAAAATGCTTCTTAAACACATTGGTGAGTATACCCCTAACGATCTGCCTTCCCCGCTGCTGATTCAAGGTCTTAACACCATTGTTCAGATCTATCAGTTCTTCGATTGTCATTTTGAACAGATCCCTTCGCTTCCAGGGAGCTCTGAGAATCGCAATGAGCTCAGCCTTCCTGGTCTCATTCTTAGTCCGCGTGCGAATCAGAGACGAGATCACCCGGCTTCCACCTAGCTCAATAGCACTTTTTGCATCTTTGAGAAACAATTTATCATTCCCCACCTGAATTTTTGAAAATCCAAACAGAAGTACAACCAGGCGCCACGGTTTAATCCATCGCGTGCCGGCATTGTTACTAATAGTGCAGGTCGCCATGCGTTTTCCTTTAAACAGCAGTTTGATAATTCTCAATAAATCAGGCTCCTGACTAGCACCAACGCACGGACACTAAAAAAACAGAGGTTCATTAATGCTAGACCCATTGGTGCAGCCTGCAGAGCCTAAGTAGCCCATCAGCTGATCTCGTACTATGTCGTGGCATTCCAAATCCTGTCGAGTATAACAATATAATAATGTATTGGCAACCCGCTTTGGAAAAGTAGTTATGGGATTTCGAAAAAAGAAAATCTGCATTTCAGTAACTATTTTGAATGGTCAACTTCGGTGTCCTTAAACCACTACCGTCTTTACTCTAATAGAACACCCGGTCATTATCGCTGCGTCTGGGCAGAAAATGGCCCCAAATACGGCTATAATGACCGGGCATTATATTTGGGTGAAGACGGTAGTACCTTTGCCGAGTGGGAAAATAGTGGGGCTCGGGTGGGCCTCCGTGGCGTGCATGCGGCTGCAAGTCTGGGGCTCGATCTACCGGAGCAAAATGGCAGGCGCCCCCAGCCAAAAGAAGGTGACCGTCCCCGGCAGCTTTTTTTTGCTGCACAGTGCGTTTCGAGGCTCAGCAAGGGAACTTAGGAAAGGGTCAAAAGACTGAAAAAAGTACTGTTGGTGGTTCAACTCAAGTTTTGTCCATTCATGTAATTCTTCCGATTGAAGTCATGCTGGAGAAATGTCTGGCGTCTGGATTCTCATTTCGATTTTGTGTCGCTTTTTATGCCAGGGCTACGGAAATGAACGGATGCAGTGAGAGCCCACACTTCGAGGCCAATGGAAGTGGTCAATGCCAAGTTGAGCTTGAAGGCCTTGGGATTTCTGGGATGGAAGTTGGAAAATTCAGTCGTGTTCTTGATGAAAGCCAGGGAAGAGAAGTCTTGGAGTGCGAAACGAGTATAATGGAGAAAAAAGTGCAGGCTGGAGAAGAGCACTTGATTCTGGACACCTCGGCGACCTCGTCAATGTCACCATCACCCCGGTTGGATATAATGGTTCTAGAATTGGGAAGTGAAGACGCCACGATCTCTGTGGTTGAGGTTGGTAAGGGCATGCGGGTTGTCGATGAGAGCCAACTCAGCGAAGGAAGAGAAGTCTCAGGTCTCGATGAAAGCCAAGGAAGACAGGTCTTAGAAGATGAAGCAAGTGTGGAGAGGGTTATGGATGAAGGAGCGAAGATAATGGATGTGTCGTCATTGCCGCAGATGCAGGTAATGGGTTCGAACTCAACAGGCCAATCATGCAAGGTGAGTTCAGCCATTGAGGCTCGTAAAGCCACTCAACCTGTTAATGAAAGCCGAAGGGAAGTGAAGGATCAAAGTGCCGCCAAGGCTGTGACTGAGGAAGAGGAGGAACAGGTTGTGGACAAGGCCATGGTTGAAGAAGAGAAGATAATGGATGTGTCGTCATTGCAGCAGCTGAAGGTAATGAGTTCGAACTCGACAAGCCAACGCAAGGTGAGTTCAGCCATTGAGGTTTGTAAGGCCACTCAACCTGTTAGTGAAAGCCGAATGGAAGTGAAGGATCGAAGTGTCGTGAAGGCTGTGACTGAGGAAGAAGAGGAACAGGTTGTAGTGAAGGCCATGGTTGAAGAAGAGAACATCATTGTGGATATGTCGTCATTGCCGCAGATGGAGGTGCTAATGGGCTCGAACTCAACAAGCCAAGGGATGGTGAGTTCAGTCATGATTGGCTTTAGTAGCGCTGTTAATGAAAGCCGAGTAGAAGAGAAGGAACAGAGTGTCGTGAAGGCTATGGCTGACGAAGACAAGGCGCTAGACGACTCTTCCACTCTTCTGGATATAGAATTGGATTACGGCGCAGACGATCCTCACAAGGACAGCATAAGAGATGCCTGCTCTTTTTTCAAATTCCTGCAATGATCCTGATGGGTTTTACCTTTCACGGACACACGATGACACGCTATGGAGTCTGACAGTGGCTGTGTGCTGAAGGACATGGCATGAGTAGATAAGGAGTCGTCGGAGACAGACGCAGCAATGTTCTGATGCTACCTCCTGTCATTATATCTGTACTTGGGCAAGCTTTCAGTCAAGATGCAGCGATATTGACCGGGTGACGGGGCTCAGCGTTCTGTTCCGGTGAAGACTGTAGGGAATGGCCATATGGAACAGGAGATGTGTGGAAAAAAAAAACAAAAAAAACACCGACATCCACACTGCCATATCCAATTCGCCCAGTCCCGTTAACTTCTCCAGTGTCACAAACAGCTACAAGCCCTAGCAAGAAAGCAACCCGGTGAATCCACCTATAGATAGAGGGGCCGCCATACGATCTACGAGGAGGGGCTGCTCATATCACCCCCGGGCCGCGTAGTAGATCTGTAATGGTCTTTTTTCAACACAAAAAAGAAAAAAAAGAAGGGTGAATTCTTGACCGGTTTTGCTGGCGCACCCTCCAGCTCTTCAGGAGGTGCTCAGCGATCTTCCGTTTCGCAGGGGGAGGACAAGGAGGAGGAGGAGGAGGAGGAGGAGGAGGAGGCTGAAGGGCAAATGCTTGGTAAGTCCATTTTGGAAACGCTTGTGGAGTTCGCATGCACAGTGTCCCCTCCTGCATATGTGCAGCCGCCCGCATTGTGCCTTGACTTGCAGTTAATAATATACTGTGATCATGACATGATAATGGCCTTCACACGACAAACCGCTGAACAAAAGGGCTGCAAACAGACTCCTAGCCACCAATGGTGCGGTCCAGTGTCGGTCGCTGATCGAAGGTTGCTTAATATCTGATGGTCAAAATCAGATTGTGAAATTTAATCTCAATGACAGACATTACAGTCTCTGATGTTAAAAGCACCAGTACCTATGGCATTTTTCGTAACCCCCGGCCTCTAATGAATTTGGACCCGAGGGGCAGGCCGATTCGGCTTCCGCCTTAACGGCCGCCCCAACCGGTAGGTAGTGGTGGTAGGCACAGCTCTTGCAGTTCACAAGGCCTGTTGTCGGCCCAATCCAATCGGAGGTTTGCGCGTCGGTGCTTCGGCCTCTCCGATCACAGCTCAATGGGACCTGAAGCTTACTTCAGGCGTACTCACACTACCTCTTATCTCTTTTCTTTCTTACCACCCAAGGGTAATCCTTTTTTTTTTTTTTTTTTAATGGTAATGTTTCCAGAAAATGCTATGAACTTAATGAACCACTGCTAACCTCCCATCTACCAACCGCCCATATTCCAAGTGACACTACAGGCCTAATCTGAATAGGCTATAGCTGTCCTGTTCATAGTACTTCATACTATGGCTGAATCAGCTATAACTGTCCTGTTCATACTGTCAAACCTACAGAACCCGGCCTCACGCTCCCGACATGCTAGGTTACAGGGGGTAGCACGACCCACCCCAGCTCCGACCATCGTTGTCCTGGTGTCCATCTTAAATGTATCTGATCAAATTTATCACTCCGTCCTGAAACAATCTGACCGCAACTTCATCAATAGATAAGTAAATAGGTCCTCAGCTTGTGTGAGTATGCCCTTAGTCAATTACTTTGGTAAGACTATTGAATTGTCTGTCATTTCCCTCCGGGACCCTACAAATTTCACTGGAGAGGTACCGTACGGTGGTGCAGCTGAATCCAGCTAGCACACTTCACTTCTTGAACTGGGGGTCGACAGTGGGGTGTGTGTGCCCTGGGGGGTGTGCCCTGGGGGGTGTCTGTTCCAGGTGGTCTATTTAACTCACTTGGTTTTGAATTGATCTATTCATGCATGTGCCATTATTGTACCAGTTAACGGGTCGCAGAACAAAAAAAAAAAGAAGTGTCAGCCTCCCCCTGAGAGTGGTAACAATGACTTGGACTCTGCGACAGCTTTTTGTACTCGGTGCTGTGTACCTTGTGCTCGGTACCTTGCATGCTTTGCGCTTGATGTGCATGTGAATGCTCTATGCTTGGAGTACTGTTGAGCATGGAGTCCGGTAGAGGCAGAGGGAATTTCCGGAATGTCCAGGGGACGGTGGGAACAACTCCTCTGTCCCTGGATCCTCCCTCTCAAGGCCCGGGCTGATGTGAGTGATTTCTTCACTTTCGTTGTTAAGATGCGGATCATACGGTTACATTTCCTGTGTGTGCTGCGCGGTTATGGGTGGTGCGAAAACCTTAGATTCTGAACCCTAGAACCAAGCAGATCCCCCCGATGAGGCTGGAGCTGGCGCAGGATGGAATTTCGGTATTGGGGAAAGCCAGCAGGGGTAGAGCAGATAGGATCGAGGGACCCGCAGGTGGAGGAATGGGAATGAGCTACCCTTTGATCTCTTTCGTTTGTGAATTGACAATTTTCTCTCTTATGTATACGACTGGTGTATGTGACTGAACTGTCTCTTCGACTTGTTCGGGGTCCCCAGCGAAAGTGCCTGTGTCAGATGTAGGTGGGCAGCCCCATGGGACTAACTCTGAATTCTTGGGAACTCTGGACCTCGCCCCGCCACTCCCCAAATGTGCAAAATGAGAATGAATATTCTGCTAGAACACCATGGGCAGATACACCGCCATGTTTTCTTGTCTTTGTGGTGGAGCAAGGCCCTCTATGCCTAGAATGTCTTCTTCTTCTTTTTTTTTCTTTCTTTTTTTTTCTTTTTTTTTGAACATCAGCTAGTGCACCCCTCAATCAGACAGGGATAAGTGCGCTTGCTTGACGGATGGTCTGCTAAGTCTTTCCGTTCCCTTAAAACCCTCAAACCACCACTATGTTTCCCAGCCATTTTTCTCCGACGCGGCGAGCATGTGGCCGCAAGTGTCGGGGGTCAGCCTATTGGAGCAAAATAGCTTCCGCCGCCAGCCCAAAAAAGGCCTGCGCTGATTCGTTTTATTTTGGCAAGCAGTGCGTTTCGAGGTTCGGCAAGGGAAGGGTCAAAAGTACTTGACCCAAAAAAAAAAAAAAAAAAAAAAAAAGAAGTACTTGACAATGTGTTGTATGTGTCTCTTCTTTTCCCAAAGGGGTTGTTCAACTAAGGATGAGAACTATATTGGAACTATTTTCTATTCTGACTTTCCTCTTTTTCTATCAAACTTGTTATTCGAAAAAAGATCCAAGTGAAAGACAAAAATACAGATTCTTTGGTTTGTAGGCTAATGAGACAAAAATGCTTAATATAAAAAGAAATAATGACCTGCACGATTCTGACTGCTCCACTGGTAGACGATCTGCCTTCCCCAGTAGAAACATCAGGGAAACCATTGAGCACATTGTTTTGCAGCGTGCTGGCTCAATACTAATGTGGTGTTGCTGGGACTATCTGGAGTCGTCTGACAGGGATAGATTGGCCATGGGACTGGAGGGCCATACTTTTTGGCTACTGGAATCCCATCAACCAATTGCTGTCAGCCTTTCCAGCAGAACGTGTTCGGCATGGGCAGAAAGGCGGTATTATTGACAATATGGTATAAACGTTGTGTCTTTGTAAGAGAGGAAGTGAGGCTAGAGAGTACTGAAATTGCTGATCTTATTAAACCACCAGTGCTTCCCAGAGTCGCGGCTCGTTAGCGGCCGCGACTTTCAGGATGAACGCACCTGGGTTCCTAGTAGAAATTCAGTCCAGGAAACATTGCCATTTTTTCTTTTGGCTGGCCGTTAACAAGGCGCGATTCTCGGAAGTACTGGTGGTTTCAGCAATTTGTACAAACAGAGATTTGGGTCCACTGGGTCAGCATGAAAGCCAAATTACAAAATTTTCATCAAAAGCCGGATATACAACATAATTCAAAAATTGACATTGGACTGGCTGGGGGGTTCCTCAAGGGAGAGAACACCCCTTTTAAAAGTGATTATCACATCATCTTGCAGGGTTGGTTCAACATCCAGCCAGGAGCTTCACTGAGACCTCCAGATCTTTTCCCTGATCCCTTCTGTCCTGTTGACCTAAGTCTTGCTTTGGTGGACTTACGATGGTACGGAATAGGGAGGGATGGAGAAGCCAACAGTTGGCACGCTTTATATTTTTTCAACAAGGGTTTAGTACAGCAAGGTATGATGATCTATCTGGTTGTCCACATTGGACTGAAGAGGCTGTACAGACCTGCAAACTTGATGGTGCCATTGTTTTTCTATAAGACTTCTGTATCAGGGATGTTAGACCCAGTTTCCAGCAGGTGCTACTCCCCACAGAATGGAGTCGTCTGCTGAGATGCTAGGAGTGGCTGCTTATCACCACACCTAGCAGTCTCGGTGGTGCTTTAAAAAGTATATATATAAAAAATAATCCAGCTCAACACTTGGGCTCTTATCATGCCCGGCACGGTCGATTTCACAGTACAAGTAGCATTCAACTCAGCAAGAAAGACAAAGTTGCAATTAGAACTTAATGTGTGAGGCTTTACTTTCACAGTGAACACGTCAAGTTCGTTGCATGCGACAACAATATTGTGTACATCCTTCTGCCTCCTGCTCAGCAAAAGAGAGTGATGGGGTGGACATAGTCAGACCTATGCGGGGTACTACTGTAGATCAACAGAAAGGCAGGGAGAGAGTCGTGGCCCAAATTCCCAATTCTTTTAGCACTCAAGTTGTTTGCTTTCCATTCAGTATGCTATACAGGATCATAGTTCTATTTGTTTCATCCCGTAAAGGATGGAGAGACTACCACCCAGAACTCCCCATTCCTGACCTCCCACTGTTAAGCGGGGGAAACCACAAACTCTGATTTCACTGATTGTCAAGCCAACGTCTCTTATTGAGACCAAAGGTGGATATATCAGCATTGGGACCGTCATCTTAATATCCTATCCCTTCAGGAGGATTGGCCGTGGGGGGAGGTCGGTGGTCTGCTGCGCTCCGAAATCCAGTCGAACTCTCAGTGAGGGCCAGCGGATGAAGGCGATCGAGGGCGGAGGGGCGTGTAGAGCGGTACGCGTACCGTATTGTTCACAGCACGCCATGAAACGAGTGTGCGCGCCCATTCGGCCGGGCGTCGGTAGGCATAAGTGTGAGGGAATATCTTGAAGCGACTGTCGTCGATAAGCGGTTTGCTTTTGGCGGGGGGGCGTGTAGAGCGGTGCGCGTACCAAAGTGTTCACAGCGCGCCATAAAACAAGTGTGCGCGCCCATGGGGCTGGGCAGCAGTGGGCGTAGATGCGAGGGAATATCTTGAAGCGGCCGCCGTCGATAAGCGGCTTGCTTTTCAATTTTTTTCTTTTTGTTTTTGTGGTGCGGGCAGTCTGTC